CTCACAGTACAAGAAAAACTCCTAAAACTGTGCTTATTAAAAAAAAAAAAAAAAAAAAAAGCAAGGAAAAATCTTAACCCACTGCTTAAGTGTGTTATGAGTGAAACAATGATCACGGGTTGTAGGAAATCTAAAGGCTTATGGTAAAAGCATTTCTCTTGCTTACATTGGCATAAAGACAAGGGGTTTCAAAGAAAGCTTATATGGTTTTTGCCAATTCATTACAGTATTTCTGCTAAAAAGAATTTCCAGCACAGGTCAAAATCCAATGATATATGAACCACAATGTCTTCTGAGGTTTGGATCAAGTATGCCATGAAAATTATGGCTGCTTATCTAATCTCTGAAGCTTCCTTTCTTCCTTTTCCCTCCACAGTCTTGAACTCTCCCTCCACAACCTCATCACAATTCATTACTACTCACACCAGTCCTTCACTGTTTTTAGAATATCATGTGTAAATCCAACCAAAGCCTTTTTTTTCTTCTAACCACAAATATTGGTCTGATAGCTGTTTCAGATACCAAATCTCAGGATCTCAGGAAAAGAGAAGTGCAACAGCAGGACTCAAATCCTGTGTCTGGTAGACTGAGTCATTTTTCATATCCACAGATGTTTCCCCAGGACTGAATGAATTAGAATTCACCGCCTCCATCCCAGAGTCCCACTGCAAAGATATGCCCTGGAGCTTGTAGATACTGCATACAAAAATTCACCTATGTATTTGCACAGCTATATAGGCAATTTGGACTTTAAACTTTTTATTCAAACCCATTACAGCTGGAATCGATTCAGTTTGTTGTTTGTGTTCCTTAGTGTGAAGAAGTGACTTCTTTTTAAAGCAAATGCTTGATCTTCAAGCTAGATGGACCATCAGATACTGATGACTAATGACAGCTATGTATTGTTTCACTTTAATCCTCATTGATATTAATGGAGACACAGTTTTCAGACCGGGGCACCTAATTGCAAGTAACCTGTTCCCTTCATGCTTGAAATATCTACCATACTGATGCAAGAACATTTTAAACCAAAGAAAATCTGATCAGGTATTATTCTCTGGAAAAAGCAATTTTAACAAAATCCAAAGCTTTCATCAATTTTGATGAAATCTTACATGTGTCGGCTTCTAGTAAACAATCACTGTTGTATTTTTTTAATTTCCATTTTATTTCTACTTCATCATTTATTTTACACCTTTGCCATAAAACACTGATACATAGCATGCTTCAATACTAACAGAGTTTCCATGCCATGAAAAATTTCAAGTTTTACTCCAAGTTAGAACAAAAAGATGTTTTATCCTGAACAACAGAAAAATGCCATTCTCAACCAGCAATACAATACCTAATTTAGGAATCTAATTTTCATGGACTTAGATGAATATAAAAGTGCTCAAGATAGATATGGGCTTTGCTTTCAGAAAAACTCAGAAACAGAAAACAATCATCAATGCTCAGGATTGAGTTTTTAAACATTTGGATTTCTCATTTTTCTTATGTATGTTTATTAAAAACCAAGCAAACACAAAGAAAGGAAGAAAATTTTTCCCAACAATATAATCCCATCTACCAGCAGTGAGGAATCATTCTGTTTCTCATCCTAATGGACATTTTTTACTGTCAGTGACACCCTATCACCTTGGCAATAATATAGGAAATTTCAATATACAGGCAAAATAGGAACGAACTAACCCCTTTAACCTTAGCATTTTGGCTACATGAAGATTCAGACCAATGTATTTTGGGTTTTTGTTCCAGAATGCCTTTCCATGCAAATACAATCTGCTGGAATAACACGAGACTACATTGTGAAATAATAATTTTGTTAAGAAACTAACAAATTTTGCTCTGAATGCCTACATAGAAAACCATTCCTATACACTGGTCAGTCAATTTACCCAAATTCCATAGAGAAGGTCACTTTTAACTGGTGTCCAGGCAAATGGTTACCACACCAATACCTCCATAATCACTAACTAACAACACCTGACTCCGGTTTTAGCCTCATATTTGGTCCAAAGTCTAAATTCATGTTAAACAAACCTATACCAAACCAAACCAATCAAAAAAGATAAATATTTATGACAATTCATAACTTTTCTAAATCACAGTGGCCTAAAGTATAAGAATCTGAAATTAATTTCACATGGGAAAACTTCAGGAAACTGAGTAAATTCATGTCCCTCATTTGCTGTAGACAAAGATTACACTCTTACAACATTCAGATAAAACTAATTCAGATTGAATTAGTTCAACCCCTTGCTCTCAAACATCTGATCAATAGAACAGAGCTTTAAAATTATCAGAAAGAGAGTGAACTTCTCCAGAAGGCCACCTCAGCTGAAATCTATACTGAAATCTCATTTGCTTTAATCTAGCATATAAAACATAGATATGTCATCTGGCATACTAATGTATATATTCCTCACTATTTACAAGAATTTGTACGAGTCTGGACCATTTCCTTCATAAATCTTAGGGGTGTAATAAAGAGAAGCCTTTCACAGTATGTCACTGTGATTCTAATTCCATTAACAACTTTATTTTACCAGAAACTGTGGCCCTCCAAATATGTGCTCTTGAGACTGTAGGATTTTCTTTTCCCCTTTGGATTAGCTTTAAATACAGGCTCATACAACTGCACAGAATAATAGCACTCAAAGGAAAAAAAAAAAAAAAAACAGGAAAAATAATACCCAAAGCAACTGTTAGAAGGAGTTGTAATCAGCAAAATTCCAGAAGAGAAAATGGGATTATTCTAATAGCTTTTTCATATTGGTACTTGCTGTATCTTTAGAACAAACATTTATGGAAATGAAATCAGGACTTTCTCAGACTTCCTGCTTCCTTTGCAACATTTTCTCCCTTTTTCTACAAACTACAGAATAGATTTACTTCCCTTTTCACTTTGCACCTTCAGACCATGCTATCCAAAGAGCATCTGAAGGAGAACTGTACCTAATTCAGTCAGCCCATCGGACCTGCACAGGATAAGCAGCTCTTCCCACACCAGACAAACCATTCCATGCTGTTCATTATATTTTTAATTATAGATGGTATTTCTCAGCACTAATCAGAAGGACAGCTTGGTCATTGCTCAAGAAGTCATACCCTTGTAACATTGTTTCAAACACCTGAAAGGTCAATACCAATAAAAATATGTGCTCATAGTGAAGAGTTCCTTTATTTGACATCAGCTGCCCAACACGTCTCACTTCTGTCCAAACACCATGCAGTCTAAAACCAGAGACTGGAAACAAGTTACCCACAGACTCAACAGTGTACTCAAGCACAGTGGTATTGATCCCTTTTTCCCACGTTTTGCTCACTGCAATGTGAATAGCCATTGGATTCCTTCCAGGGCAGTTTCCCTGACTGTGGACCTGAGGAAGGTAACTTGACAGTGTCAAATTCAGGCCTCTCTTCTTGTACACTCACCAAGAGACAATAATACAGGACCAAGCCTGCTTTCCTGACAGCAGAGATTCAGGAAAGAGGGTGTATCATTTAAACAAAATAATGAAATATTTATTCCATTGGTATCAGAAATCTAACGTACACATTACAGCCTAACATTCTTCGCTACAAAGAATGTACTATTAAAAACAAAAGCAAAACAAAACAAAAACAAACAAACAAATACAAACAAACCAACCTCAAAAACAAATATACGAGGAGAATGGGAATATGTTTATTTCCAGATTCTTACTGTAAAACTGAGCTACACTGGAAGGGTATAGAGAGTTAAGTATAACACATCAATGTATCTCATGTTGCTGAATCAGAAGGTAACAACTTTTTTACTTCAAATCCTTTCAGAATATGTGAACATCTACTTCTGAGTAGGACTGTATGTCAGTGGATTTTCATATTTTTGGACAGCACAACATACCTTGAAATGACTCCAAACCTGAATAACAGTGTTTTAAAATTAATTCCAGTCACAGTTTCATTCAGCCTCGGTGGTGATACAGCCCTGGAAGGGGTTGAAGATCAAAAATACCCCTATCACCGCACTGGACCGTGGCCACGCTGGGTCAGACCAGAGGTCCATCTGGTTGGATATGCTGGCTCTGACAGCAGCCAGTAGCAGACGCGTAAAGAAAAAGATACAAGCAAGGCAAGCATGCAGTGATCCTTCCCCTACTTGCACTTCCAGCATCCTGTGGTTTCAGTGCTTCCTAAGCCAGAAGTAGTGACAGCAGTTTTATATGCTGAATTACAGGATTCAAATCCCCAGCCCTTTATTTTGTGTAACAACGGGAGAAAGAAATGTTTTGCAGTTAATTAATTCATGTGTTAAGAAAGACCTGTTTCTTTAGCCTCAACACAGTTTAAGTGTTCCTGCTGCAAAATTACATTTGTTTAGGCACATTTCCATGTCACACATCTAGACACGAATTCCATCGATCTTGTAATTTCATTTGCTGTTTGAAGCTGCAAAGAATCCACAGTTTGTCCATAAAGATGCCAAAAGCCTAGAAACTTATTACACACTGCTCACAGTGTGGGTTCAGATACATTATCAGCATAAAAAGAAAAAGGCAAATTAGGCCACAGTAGGAGAACACATTTTTAATATTACAGTCTGCAGCTTGAATCTCTAATTTAATGCTGCTGTTTCCCAAAGTTATGCTACATCATTCTAGGTTGCTGAATTGAAGAGATGACAGTGAACTAAATTTTTACAAGCAACTGGGCAATGCAGATAGTCAGTACACTTGATGACTTCCAGAGAAACCTTCAGGGCCAAAGTGAATGAGACATTTTCAAAGAATTCCTTAGGCCTTCATATTGATAGAAATTCGGTACGAATATGTTCAGAGCACCAAATCTGGGGAAAAGGGAGATTCTAGTGTATTCTTCTAAAAGAACAGAAAGGAAAAATACTCAGCACCTGTAAGCAAAATGCATATACCCTCTGCAAATGCTCAGTTGGTTAAATACACATGCCACACACAAACACTACAATCATTTCCTATCAAGAAATCATTACTTACCGAGAGGATTATCTGTGCCATTACAGCTTCTCTCTGGAGCTGATAGTTATCTTCTACATCATACCTACTGTTTCCTCCAGCTACAGCAGAAATCTTGAAAGTAGATATCAAAGAATAGCAAAGAAATACAGTCAGCAAGGAAACATAAGCTGCAGAACTTCTAGTTTCCTCATGCACCTTCCCAAAATTCTGGTCAGCAGGAGCAACTACGTTTTGCTTAATTTAAAGTTTAATTTAAAGATGGTGACTCTCCCAGCTAAGAATTAGAAAATGATACTGAAGAACCTTAGGGACAATGAAACTTTAGATTATGTTGTTTTTATGAAGTTGTAGATTTTTCTGTTTAGGAAGAAAAAAACCAGACAGCTCATACATATGAAAAGTTTTGACCTAGTCAGATGGAAGCAGAAAGGCAAAGACCTAGCACCTGTTGACTTTATCCTAAACAGCAGACTTTAATACTAGACAGGTTCAATTTCAACAGTTCCAGTACCCTGAGATTTTATAATACCATTCAGATGAGGTGGACTTATCAGAGTTTACCCACTAAAATTACTTCAAAAAGATAATGAGTTCCCACCTTGAAAGTTTACTTTACTAATATTCAGAGGATGCACATGCATGCCCCACAAAACCAGTCACCAATGAACACCATGTCTGTCCTGACTGCTAGCTACCAAATGGCAGGCACAGTAGAAAATGATTCAGAATTGTAATTAATCTCATGATTATTCAGCCAGCATTTCATTTAAGATGCTTACAGCAGGTGATTTTACATTGTTCAAAATAAGCAGCCTGCTACCATTAGATATTTCCTCCATGCAAATTAAAGAATACACAGTACAAGAGCATTTCAAAAGAACTAAATAATAGTCAATTTACATGTCAGCAAATTGTTGTCAAAAATTGCAAAAAACTAGCTGTTCTTCAGGATGGATATTCAGCATGTTTGGGCCTCTTCAGCATTTCTTGCCTTGCTCTGGGGAATGAGCAGTTCGAGACCTTTTGGTCTCTATTGTAATCCAAAGTATTGTGTTACTTGAGAAAACAAATTAAACAAAGCAATTAACTGGGAAGAAGGTGTCTGTGATTCTTGATATCCTGAAGTGGAAGTAAGTTAGCACTGGCACTCATATAGCAAACATATTATTACTGTCGGATGTTTATGCAGCAACACTGCAGGGTCTCAGAGCCTTTAAATTAAATTTACATGGCCAGTTAAATAGAGAATCAATAGTACATATGTCTGTAGTGTTTGAGATATGTATGGTTTGCTAGACTGAACCACCAGGTAAGCTTTAAATTCCCTTTTTTATCATTATTTTTTCAAGAAAATATATAAGAAGATAGCAAGTGTTTAAAGATATCAGGACCATTTGTCAGCCTCAGGCTGATTAGAATATAAATTTTACACTGTAGTTAATAATTTTAAAATTCCATATTCAAGCTTTTCTAGAACTCTGGCAACAGCACTGTGAATCCTGGGACACAATTCATCTTGTTCTGCTGATCTGTCATTTGCACTTCTGGGTCATATTTTGCTGCTGTACTGCTGGTCAAGGTGGGTTTAAGAAAAGGTTCTTTTCTAAATTTTTCATTTGATAGGCGGTACATTGTTACTCTGAGCCTCTAATGTAGGGTCTTCAATCATTTTTACCCTGTTGGTTGCTCTTTTAAATTTCTTTTCAAGAAGCTTTCTTGGGTTTTATGTGTTTTTCTTTTTTGAATTTTAATTTAATTAAATTTTGAATTTAAATATTACTATTAAATATAGGGTGTTTTTTCCCTTCCACAGGACACAAAATTTGAATTAGTCCTGATCTCTTCAGCCTGATAAGTAGTAATATCTTGAAGTGCACTCTGTGCCATGTTAAGGATTTAGCCAGACTTCACTTCTCCTTTATTGATTTTGACTATCATTAATAGAGGAAAACTTTCTAGAAAATACCAATGATGGTACTTCTTAGTGAAAAAAATACAAGCCTGAACTGCTTCTGATGCATTAGAGAAATTCCTATGCCACTAAGTCAACCTCTGTGAATGTAAGATTGTCATAAACCACAAATCATAAGTTGCTGATTAATAAAGATCATAAATATCTTTCATATTATGGGGTAATACTTTTTATGTAAAAAAAATAAGAATTGCTTAAACTGTTTGCTTATAATCATGATTTTACTGCATAATACTAAGATTTCCTCATTTTTTATATAAAACAACCATAAAGTTATTCCATCTTGCTTTAAGTACATAATAAGGATAGTCAAGTAAAATGCAGTTTCATATTCCATTTCCAAGAAAGTCCACAATGCGTGGTCATTTTACAAGGTAGCATCTAGAATCTTAAAAAAGCTAAACAAAACAGAAGACTTGCGTAAAACTGAGACTTTTACTGCCACAGCTTTGTTAAAAGTAGAAAAGGATTATGGTAGACCAATAGATATCCTGGAGTAACTGAAGTGGTATCACCCCCTCCATTACCAAAAAAATCCCCTTTTTGCAAATTCAACAGTCAAAATAAGCTCTGGAAAAAATGCTTCTCATTTGCAGTTGTAATTATGGAATCTGTAGTCTTAATTATGGACATTTGTAAGCATAACACAACCAGTAAACCTTGCATAGATAAATACAGCCTTAGACACTTTCATAAAATAGCAGTTAGCAGTACAGTGTTTCTGAAACACAAGTAGAGCAAAGGCTGATACTGGTTTAGCACCAGACCAGAGGCCCTATGTGCACAAGCACAAGCTTGACATAATCTATCAATCACATTGACTACTACTGTAAATTCATTTTGAGATATACTGGAAAGACTAATTTTAAAAATCAAAGACAACTTCATTTTCCAAAATGTGTGGTGTTTAAATTTATTTAAACATTAGATTTACATTCTTTGGAATCAGACCTACATTTGTTTGTCTAAATCTACAAAATAAACAAACTACAGCAGCCAAAATGTTATTTAGTTCATATTAAATCCTTCACTTTAGGATGTGTAATGGCAAGCAGGATTGGATTAAAAATATTGACTACATGTTTCTGCTAAACTGGTTATCGCTAAAAATTATCAGGGTTGATATCTAAAGGCTAGATTTTCAGGAAAATTCAGCATTCAACATTTAGACACCTAACCCAGCAAACAGACTTTCAAAGGAACTTTGTCCCCATTTTGGTACTGAAATGTATTAATTAGATTTCCAAGGACTCAGTCCTACATGGTATCAGGCATTCTGGCTCTGCAGCAATGAAGCACTTCAGCACACTTAATTTAAACATGTAAATGGTCCCACGGAAGCCATGGGGCCATTTGCACACTTAAAAACCCTCATACAATCTTATCACACTGTTGGCTCATGGCCAAAGTTTTCAGAAACTCACAGGAGTGATCCTAAAAGTAGTGATGAGGCCTGGGCACATTTGAAAGCCCCCCATACATACTGAACCTTGATTAAAATAAAGAAAGTTGGTTTCCCATTTGTCTCAGAGTTTGCCAGTATTTGCATCTTTGCTCTCACTCCTGTTTGTAGAAGGAAAGAACGTTGTAGAAGGAAAGGATGTTGTAGAAGGAAAGGATGTATATGAAGTCTGTTTTATTGAACAAAATGGGAAAAAAAAATGACCAAAGGTGAATATAATTATCTTGAAATCTAAGTCTGCCCTTCCATGAAGTGCTATATTTCTAAGCTCTGTGAACATCACCGTGATCCCTGTTGCCATGTCTGCTTCTCTTTATTCATTTACCTTTTTGTTCACTGATGTCTCTCATCCATGGACAACTGCAAATCAGCTGAACTGGCATGCATTCCATCTGACATTTCATATCCCATCAGTTTCAGTTCAATTTTGGCTTTTCCACAGTCTTGGATGTTGGCTTCTTATTGTTTGTACCACCACTGCATAAAGGCAGTGGTCACCGTTCTTTTCATTTAGATCAAGTGAAAAGTGATTATTGCTGGTGAAGAGCAGCTAGGGAGATGCCACCTTTAATAAACAGAAAATAAAACACTGCACTGAAATTGGCCTAAGGGCTGTCATAGCATCAGTGTAAACCATCAGCCATAACTGGATCTGTGATCACTCTACAGATTGGAGAAGGCAGCCACTACTGCCAACATGAGTTACCCACTCCAATGCTACACGACCAAACTCCTTCCCTCAAGTCTCCATGGCCATGGAAATTCTGTGACAGTGGTACTGCTCTTGCACTGCTCACCCACGCACGTGAGCCGCATGAGCCACACCATCTGGCTTTACAGCTTACACTAGCAGCGCTGTAACAGCATTTGCAACTGCTTCTGTGGGACATCTCCTTTTGTTTCTAGGAAGCTGACAGCCTCCCAACTGCAGCTCCTCTCTAATATACAGTGAGCACTGGTCAGGGATGCCAAGATGATAATGTCAGTTCCAGCACTACATCTGATGGCATCTTTCTGCTACCATGTGCAAAATTTCACACAGCCTTTTATCCCTAATCTGAGCTTTTACACACATACATATACAGCTGTTAAAATTGCCAGCATTCTTCAGCAATAGGACATTAACTGCTGTGAATTTATCACTTTTACAGAAAGCTTTTTGGGTAAAGAGAATTAAAAGTGTTCTTCAAAATGACGTACATTCTTATGATGTGTAGTAAACATCACACTAAAAGGAGGGGATGGGGAGAGAAGGGGAAAAAAAAGAGCAGTCCATGCAGCCAGCAGCTGTCAAGTATCAAAGATTTCATTTCAACATTATGTCAAAACCCACGATGCTTTAAGGCTCATCAAAACATGAGTACATCTCCAAGGCAGATGTCTTGACTCTTTAGGTTGTTGAGTGGCTGGATTATAGAAAACTTACCCCAAAAAACAAGAACAAAAATCAGCCATGCATCTAAAATTTTTGAGCAACAAAAAGCATCCATACAAATGCAACAATAACAGTTACCCTTACTTTTGGCTACATTTCTACTTTGTCATCTGTATCTACTATATCTAGCTCTCCTTAACTGCCAAGGCCCTTCTGATTTCACTTGCTCTCCAGCTCTGAGCAATTGTTACTGCTTTCCAGTGGCATTTTTTCCTACTTGAATTCACATAGGTATCACAGATTTTTATATATCTTAAAATACACATTAATAGACCCTGCAAGAAGATATCAGTCTAAGGATTAAAAAAAATTCATACAGTTAACAAAAAAAAAAATTTAAAAGTGTTTAACTTTGGTCCAAGCTAACATGGTACCCAGCATACTACTTCACAGTATCTGTTATATACCTGTGCTCTAAAACTAAACAGTGACAAAAATAATGTTCTCCAGAATTTACAGAGATTTGGTTCTGCAAAGGGCCAGGAGTTTAACTTTGGTGATCCTTCTGCATGCCCTCCAACTCAGGATATTCTGTGATGTATGATCTCAAATATGTGAATTCTTCAATTCGAGTGGCATTAACTCGGCCTCAACACCCCTTCAAATGGCTAAAAAAGACAGTAGTAGAAGTGTTACAGATATAAAAGATGTATTAATTGCATAAAGATGCATAAAATCAGATCAGACTGGATTTATGAACCAAATTACAATGAAACATCTTACTAAGCTCAACATTCTAGAGGAAATATCCATTGACATCAACTATAGCAGCAACAGACATCTAGACTCTCAGAGCGCCTCTGACAATTTTTCACATGATGGATTAGTACATATGGTATTAAATATAAGCTGCCCTAAGGAAAATTTTGAGAGTGGATAAAGAGAAGTATAAGACTAAATAATTGGTTTATAGACAGAAAGAAGAAGAGGAGAATTTAAAGTATCCATTCACCATAACATGAATTGTTCTGCATGGGATTTATATCAGATAGCTATTCTTCATACTTTGATTAACAGTGTACAGAAAAGATTGAAAAGGTTAAACCTGTCTATTGTCATCAGCATCAGAGATTAGGAAATGGTTAAAATTAGAAGAAATATTTCTATTTTGATCAAAATAGAAGCTCAAGGTGATATGGGAATTTTAAGTTCCATGTGCAGAATCATGCACACAGAAATGGTAACTCCTTAATTAAATACAGGTCAAATAAAAGGAAAACAGTGTAAAGGAGAATGTGATCTAATTAGGTATGGTGTAGTTTTTACATTCATCTAACACAAAGCAGAAATTTAAATGTATTTTGCTTTTCTCTGCAAGGTTCTTTTGTAAGAAGGAAATCCTCATGAAAATCCACAGGAGTTTCACCACTAATTTCAATGGGTCAGGATTTCACTAGAGGTGTCTGACATTATTGGCTCTATCTAAATTAAGAAAATGCCACATGGGTAAGTGGTGAGGTTAGCTGCAACAGGAAAGTTTTTCACCTGAGAGAAAACTGGAACAAGTGAAGATGGGGTGGGTAAATTTACCCTGATGAATTTACTTGACTAACTTAAGGATTTACTTTCTATAAATTAACCACAGCAAGATGCATCAGATGCAAATGGGCCTGTCTGAAAGTACAAATGGTTCCTATAAATATACATTACACTCTAGGAAAGTTCAATTTCCTGCCACGCTTCTGGCTCACACACACCTCTTCCCTTTGTGTGCAGAAACGAATGGCTATCACCTTCTGGATTGGTTCCAGGTCAGTAGGTAATTTAGATGAGTCTCACAGTTTTTGTAATGAAGATGCTCTCTCCTTGAGCCTCAAAGATGAAAATCTGCAGAAGGTCATTGAATTATAACTATGACTGGGTTTTTTAATTGCACTGGTGCTACTGCTGAAAGCCATACCCCAATTTACTGGGGAGGTGGGGAGCTTGAAGAGGGGTTATCTTTGAAGGCTATCACTTTGAAGTATATCCTCTCAAAGAAAATAAAAGGATTTCACACAAAAAGACAACAGATTTCTACAGAAGATACTTCTGCAAAAGAGAATAGTTCACTGCTAACTTATGCCATGCTGTCACTCATTCTTCACACTCAAATTAGACCATCGAGTTTAAATTAAGTTTCTAGCTTGCAAATTCTGTCAGATTTAGGCATGGAATTGAAAGACATTGCTGCCTCAAATTCCAAAACACCCATAGTAGGAACAGAAGTTTCATCAGGTCACTCAGCCTCCACAACTCACTATTCAGCAAATCTGTGGAAAACTGCAATCAACTTCAGGGTACTGCCTTTACCTTTTGCTTCTTTACTCTCATAAAGCAGCTCTTTTGATTTCCTTTTGTCTTCCTGTGTCTTAGGTTCTTTTCTCTGCATTTCCTTATCTACAAATACACGTACCTTCATTCTCCTTACACACACCCACTTGCCCCATTTGGGATACCACATACTAGCTAAAAGTTTAGGTGGAACTGAAAGTTCATGGAATTTTGTAGTCCATTCTACAATGAAATTGAAAGCAGGGCAGAAATCGCTGCTTCAGTGATATTCATACTGCACACTAATATTTTTCCATGAAACCTGGAAAACTTTGTTGTGTCCTAGAGGCTACAAAAATATATCAATCAGAACATAAGTTTGAACACCACCTTCTGTGCAGATAGAGGTCTTGGTCACCCTGGTCCTGATTCATCCTGCAGAACACCAGCATTTAACTGAGGTGCTTAAAAAACAGCCTCTCATCTCAGGAGCTTTCTGCTGTCACAAAGAGACACAGATATACATTAGACATGCTGACTGGTTTCCTGTGTAATCCTGGTCCACAGGTGTCTAATTGCAGAGAGAGGAGTAGAGAATATCCTTAGCAGTGATACCTCAGTCTAGTGGTAGAATTAGCTGTGACCAACTCAAGTCATAGCATTTTTCCTAAAACACCTACTATCAAGCAATTTGACTTCAGGAAAATCTTAGTGTTAACATTATTGATGCCCTTAGAGTCTGTTTATGCTTCAACTAGGATTAAAAGAGCATATGAAATGTGACTATTGTGAACAACTAGGAATAACCAAGAGCGTAGAGAGATGTAGTTGGAAAAAATATCTAGGCACATACGATTATTCAGAAAGAATTCTGTAATGGTTGTTCTTGACTAGCTCAATGTGTAGTCAAACCTTCAGTCAAGATGGTTTGCTAGGTCAGGGTGATGTAAAGATGGACATGGTTTGTAACAGAGGAATCCTGTATTGCAGACTATCAGTCTTGGTCAGGTGACTTGCTCTCTGGAGGTGCTCATCTATCATTAGGAGTTACCTACACTCTCATATGGTATGCTTTGGCAAAATATATAAAGTTATTTGGCATAAATTGTGGTCATATCAGTTTCACAAAAGTCTAGAGTAATTTGGAACAGAAAAAAATTATAAATTAGTTATCTTTAATTATTTGAGACAAATTCAAAGTTAATTTATCCTTCATGAGATATTCTACCTTCAACAGAAAGAGAAGTTCCTCCACGTATAATTCAACCTATATTTGACAGCCCACCTCAAAACTCATTTGGACAGGCTCAAAGAGAAAGAACGTGTGGTCATAGGAGGAGGTTCCTTGACACTTCCAAAATCTACATAGGACCTCTGAAAAAAGACAGTAAAACTGGAAGTAGTTACAGAGGATCTATTAATAGATTATGAAAAAAGAAAGTTGGACAAAAATTGATTAAAAAAAAATGGAAGGATAAGGATAAGATAGCATTGTGAACAGAGGAATAATTGAATTCCAGGAAGGAGCTACAAAATTCAGCATTATTAGTTTATGTGAGTACAAAAATGGATAACATTTTTCAGTCATAACTCAGTATGTTTGAGGAGTATCCATCACTTCAGCATCCACAAAAAACATTTTGCCTTTTAGGACCCACTGGGGATTTTGGATTGGTCATGTTTCCTCTGCAGTACTGGCTATGAACTTCTCTGATGCTCCTTCATTCTTCACTGCAAGGTCTACCTGTGACATTCACTCTGCTTTGCGCACAGGTTTGAACGCCAAAAGTCCCTTCTAACCTAAATTATTCCATGATTCTAGAACATTTTTAAGACTCAGAATTCCACAAATTTATTAGATTTGGAAGTTCATCTTG